TCAAAATAATCCTGCCGTGAAGGGGTTACAGTGTCGTCTGAGCTTTTGAAAACTTATCAAGAAGAGCGAAAGTGTTTGTCTTTAGTCAAATCCTCACATGCTCACAAGTTATCTCAAGTCATCCAGTCTTGAGTCACAGGTATTCCAGATAAGCCACTTGCGAGTTAAATTTGAATAAAATCTGGTACACTGTGTTATCTGATTGCATAAAAACATAACAATTTGAACTCCCCAGACTAAAGACACTGTCGCTATACCTCGTGATTCGGGGCAAGCTTTTGCATAGCGACCATCATCTCTGGAATGGACTGGTTCCTTTGTGCCCTTCTTATCCATTGAGAACAGTGTAATGTTGCAAGGCATCTCCTATGTAACTAAGCGAAAGCTTGCCCAGAATCACGAGGTATATCAACAGTGATTTTGCTAAGGAGAATTCAAATTGTTATGTTCATGTGAATTTAAATAACTCAGTGTACCAGATTTTATTCAAATTTAACTTGCAAATGGCTTATTTGACAAGGGTGTTCCTTTGTCGTTGTTCCTCCAAGTTCCAAATTCAGTGGATAGGAACGACTGTTTTCCTTATTGCCATTCAGGCTTGAAGTTTCTGGTTCGCTTGTGCTCTGATCTGGGTCTGAAGGAAGCCCAGGAGTATGCCACCAAGCTGAAGAAGGCAGAAAAAGCAAAGGAGTTACGAGAACAGGTCAGATTGTTTGGCTCATCAAGCAGCCATCTGTAACGTGTGTGCCTCAAAGATTTGGACTTTGTACATGCAATTAATGGGAGATTTCTGAGACCCCTGGTGGTCGCAGACATGGCAGTCCCATTTGGCAGGTCCAACATTGCCTGATGAAGGCTAGCAGCACCAGCAGCCGAAACGTCGCTACCAACAACACGACACCGCGAGTCAGGTCCAACATTGTTTGCGTCATTTGGAATGTGCACACATTTGCTCAAATTTGATACAAACAGCAGTGGACCAGCCACCAGTGGGACCGGTATGTTTGCGGCCAGTCACAAAAGTCTCCAATTGTCCTTGTGTCCTGCACTGACACCTGGTTCCAATTACATGAAGTTACTGAGCAAACATTGTTTTGTTTGTTTTTCAGGGTTTTTTGTTTTGTTTTGTTTTTTGGTAAAAAAATGAGCGGATAACCAGTCGCAAGTAGCATACTTTTAATTGCACTTTTGCTGGTGGGCTGCTAAGTGTATATTTTCCATGCTTAGCAAATTCCAGTGCTTGGCATCTCTATAAAATTGTATCCAGGCCAGTGCTATCATGAAGTTATTTTTTTTAGGAGTCGATCAGTACTGATTGCTGTAATTAGTTTTAATCAAACTAGTTATATATATTTCTGGGTTCGTTGACAGCGTGCAAGCAGCGGCACCCGTCGTACTGGCAGTGGTCGTAGCACTCGCGGTGGTAGCGCTGGTGAGTTCGGCTAGAAGGAAATCGCTGTTGTTACCAATAAAAAGAGGAGCTTAGTGGTGTGTTGACAAGGGTGGCTGCAGCATGCTCATGCCCAAATCATTTTGTGGTTGGAGAAGATAGTTCCCCCTATTTTTCGTTGTTTCCCTGACCATTCCCCCGGTGTCTTCCCACCATTCTCTGACCTTTGTGATCCTTGGAATAGTGTGTGATGCAGTACATCCAAATGAAGCACTGGCCAAACAAGTCAAAATTGTGACCCGCTCGGTGAAAATGAGTCATGAGCCGCCGGAGCTACTTTTTTTGAGTTTTCATTTGTATTGGAAAGAGCAAACTGAGATTTTTGTTTTGATGTATCACTCAGTTTGGTATCCTGATGAAAGTGGATACTCCATGGTGGCAAATGCTGTGGGTTCCTATTGATTTACACTCTGCAAAGTTATTTTAAAGTACCTTTTACTCCAAAGTGGCTCTGGTGACTTGTGACTCATTTTCACAGAGTGGGTCACAATTAAGCTCTTAACAGGATTGTTGAAAGTGACACCACTCTTTTAGTTTAAAGTTCATCTTGTTCCATAAAGCTGGATCATTCCTGAGCCAAATTACAAAATGCTGACATGATTTTTACAGCACCAGCACATTGTTGTAAATGTAGTGTCCTTTTTTTAAGTGATATGCCATTCTTGAACTGCTGGAGTTGGGAAAAGATGTCAAATAGGTGAAAGTGAAATTTTTAATCCCTGCAAGGATAATGAACACTTAAATCAGGAAAAATCCATCGTCCTTTTGCTGTTTCCCTTCAGAAGCTCATCCCAAGTCTGCCTGACTTTAACATTCCGGCACAGCATCACATAATTAGTACCTGCTCATTTTGTTGGTTTTAATTTGAAATACTGTCCTGGTCACAAGTCACAAACCATCAACTGCAAATGATGAGGTCTGCCGCCTCACTTGTAAAAGTGTCTTTTTCCCTGATAAGTGCAAGAGTTGGTGTTGTCAGCACCTAGTTGTGGGAATGTTTGCTGTTTGCTTGCAGGGGGCAGCGCTCATAGCGTCCGCGGTGGCAGTGCAGGTATGTAGGCCGTAGGTCTGGTTTACTGTGCCAAAAACATTTCCTCGTCCTTCTCACTGGCAGCTTCTATGCTGTGTTACTACTGATTAAACTAACATTCAGCACGTATTTTGAAGTTGAATGCACTGAACTTGAACCTTTCGGCAACATGGAGGATAAAGTGAGCTTATTACAGTCATAAACTAGAAGATTCCTGCAAAGAATGCGATAGGAGTTTACAGTTGTTCATGCACGTAGGCTTCCGGTCAGGACTAACCTGTTCTTTGAAGACCAAATCAGAGCATAGTGTGTCCCCATGGAAAATCTTTTGTTCCGAAAGGAAACTTAAAAAGTTTGAACAAAACTGCCGAGTAGATGAACTGATGACCATGGTTAACACTATTACTCGTCATCTGCTTTGGCCCCCGTCAATGGTGGCAAGCACTGTTCTAACTATTATTACAGAGCCACTGAACCATGATAACCTTTCCATACAGAACCCAGACTTTGCTGGATTCAACTTTAATTTATTAATATAACTTGAAGGAAAAATGCATTCTGAATTTTTGAATCGGTGCTGTTATCTATAACTTACACCACTGTATACTCTCCTTTTAACACCTGTGATCTGCTCTGCATGGTTTCCACTGACTGCTGTTTTTCCATTCATTTATCTGTCACCCTTCATTCCACTGGCTGTCTTGCTGTACCATCTTACCCCACTCCTGTCATGCTGTATATGCTGTGCCGTTTGCTGTGCTCACACCCCCTGTCACCCATGGCAATAAGGCTCAGACAGGCTGGATAGTCCCAGCTTGGGTGCTGACACCCTGGATGTAGACGGCAGGGGTGAGTGTGATCAAAGTAACAGTCAAGTGTTTAAAAAACAGCTCGGATAGAGGTTTGGGAGAATTCTGGTGAGACATCACTCTAACACTAACCAGCAGATTAAGCAGTGATGTAGAAGTGATGTCATCTAAAATTAATTTTTGAGTGCAACACCCAAGCAGATATTTTGTGAATCAAGAAGTTGGGAAGTTTCCTGAAAAGACATTACAGTAACATTATAGAACATGCTGTAACAACCTGTCCCTAACCTTTGTCCCTCGTAAATATTTTTCTTTCTAATTCTGGGGTTTTTCCCTCACCAACATGTTACACGTATGTTGTAGTCATTACTTTTGGCTACTCAGGAATCCACCTGCTAAGACAAACTGAGCATAATAGTCAAGAGAGTGTTTACATGTATAACATGTGGCTACTTGACTGGGCATTCTTTTAATTTTGGGGATTACCCTTCTGTTACAACTTAAACAGAAATCATGGCCGTAACTTATACGCCACTTGTAAGCACATTCTGTTTCACAATGCTAACATCTACACTGGACAGCAAAAAATTTTGTCACTTCTGTCAAAGGCCACACATAAAATTTCACTCCATAGAAATAAACAGTTTTTGTACACAGGTATGCTGCAATACCCCTCACTAATCACATGCCCAAGAGCGAGTGATTATCTTTATAACAAAGAGGAAATTGACCTGCACAGTAACTTGGTTACTGAATCAAAAGTCACACACAAAAGCACTCTCCCCCAGCATACCTGTGTACAAAAATTGTTTATTTCTATGGAGGGAATTCTTATGTGTGACCTTTGACAGAAGTGGCAAGTTTCTTTTACTGTCCAGTGTAGAAAAATAAGAAAATTAACGTGAAAAGATGGAATCTGAGAACATTATTACATAACCCCAAAAAGTGCAGTGTAAACTGCCAGAATTTGATGGATCTCTCCAGATCCATACAATCCCTCCCGAGTTTCCAGTGTGTGGCTTGCTGTGTTTCCAACCTCCGTAGGACTATCAGGCATGGCCTCATACACAGCGCATGTTTTCCCAGTTGATGATTTTTTTCCCATTTCCATGCACGTTCACACTGCAGCTTTGAGCAGTTTCCCAGGTAATTATCACCACGCCTCTGTCCTTTCAATATTGACACACTAATACTCTGTATTTTTTAAAAGTTTGCAACGAGTCTGTACCCTTTGCCAAAGTTGACTCTAAACTCTGGAGTTGTCTGTATTCACTCTTGACTTCACTGCAAACGCCTTTGCAGAATTTGTTGAAAATCCATTTGGACCACATATTCCAGGGCCGTGTCTGCAATTCATGCGTACACCTTTGACACTTTTGACATCATTGGCTTAGTTGTAAAAACAAACTCCTATCTGGTTGTAAGACCTATGCATATTTTGGTCCAAATCCATTGCAACGGTATTGCTTCTGTTGTTGGTAGCATAATTAAAAGGTCGTCAGAGCTTCATAAGGCTTTGCCATTTTCAACATGTTGCTATGTATGACAATCGAACCAGTGTCATCCATTCCCAAATTGGGTCAGGAGTCATTCAAGCAATCTGCAGATAAAGGCACTGTTGTGCCCTTCATCCCTTGTTACCAGACTTGTGCTTTGACCCGTGAATTCCAAGTTAAATGTAGTAAACTCTTGATAGACTTGATTGCAAGTCCGAGAAAAAAAAGGTCTTGATTGAATTGTCATGAATTTGTTGGTCAGATTCAGGCCATGGGAGTCGTCAGAGCAGTGCTCGGTCTGGCAGTGCACGACGCAGTGGTAAGACACGCCCGTCCCTCCCTGAAGCTAACGGACCATATGAGGTGGAGTCACAGAATGTTGGTAAGTACATCTGTTACTGAAGCTTTCCTTGCACTTGTTAAATAAGCTGCTAGGCTCTTGCTTCGTTGCAGAGCAGTCAGTGCTGAGTATTGTGGATCTCCCAACCACAGAACCCTCTGCTCAGGATCAGCATTCTATGCCAACAGCACTTATGCGGAAAATTTGCAGTAAACCATAACTTTGCAAGCCCAGAAGCTACACAAACAGGTGCATGAGCCAAAACTCGCTGCCAACCTCGGAAATCTGCTATTCGCGGTGAACTTTGTTTGGGCTGTAGTTAGTAGAGATTTCTCCCAGATGCCAACATTCAACCCCCCCCCACCACCCAACCAAAGGCCACCTCACCATTTTCCCAAAGTCCACCTTCAGGACATTTTTGCTATTTTGAGGGATGTCGGTGACATAGCTAGAGAACCGGATGCTTTAGAGGTATTACGTCATGATAATACCTCTTCCCTGTACTGCCCAGCTTTAGTCTTATCTTTTTGGCAATTAATTTCACACCTGCGGACTAATCCATGTTTGCCGTAAGTGGGAGTCTTCCTACACTTGCCTGTTATTACAGGTCAATATTAACTACAGTCCAGTCACCAGACATGATATTCAGTTTGAAGTTTTGCAAACCAGGCAAAGTAGGTAGCCATGCTCTGGAACTTGAAGCTTGATTATGGCAAAAAGGACCATGGCACTGTCTAGTATCCAGTACCAAAAGCATTCGTTTCAAAGCTGAATGCACCCCAAGTTGTTGTCATGCAGTTGACTTGACTTTGGAATCTTCTCACTCCAGATGCATCATATGTTGACCCCCTTGGCCCAAGCACGGAGCGGCCCAAGACGGCTGCCCGCAGACGAGATCAGACAGAAGATGAGTTTGGCGATGAGGAGCTTGGAGATGACTTGCTGCCTGAGTAATCAGATGGGTCTGAGCATTCGAGCGATCACACTTGCACTTGATACTCAATATTTTGGATGATTATTTGATTAAATAGTCATCAGATACAAAAATTAAACTCTTTGTTAGCTCAGGAAATGAAGACCGAGATGGAATAAGCTTTGCAGGCGACTCATGGGTAGCTACACATTTTTTGCACTGAAAATATTTTCAAGACTTGTTTCAAGTCGGGTCACATTTTCAGTCTATTTGTTCAAAGTATATGTAAAGCTTCTTTAAGTTAGATTGTGTCCACACATCTTTCCCAAAATTTAGGAAATTACTCAGTGGTCAGAATACCTCATCATTCTCCTGATGAGATATGTTTTGAAAACAATTGTACTGAATTATTTGTGTTCACCTTTGACCTTCAAAATCTAAACAGATTTGCATTTGTCACGGTTTGGCATTTGGAAAAAGTCACATAGCACATAGCAAGTTATGGACAGTACAGCGAGAGTAAGATCTCTCGTGACCTTGATGTAAAAAAAATCTTTCAAAACAGGGACTGATTTATGTCCGAGAAAATTGTTTTTAGGGGGAGATGATATTTGTTTTCACTGGCGACACACCCCTTTTCTAATATAACAAAAAAAACAAAAAAACACTGTGTCATTTCCCAACCTGTGTGCTCCATTTTCCTTCAACATTATGCCAAACTTCTTTGTATGTTAAGATGCCCTGTAATTTCCACAATGCCAGCTCTGATTAGGAGATGGTTGGCATTACTGCATACTTTTCTGCCTTTATCTTCAAAGTAATATTCTCAGTGTGCAACACTGCACAGAGAGGGAAATTCTGTAACTGCAAATGTAGCATGTGTAAACCAGGGTTCTGAATAAACAGAAGGTGAGACATGCTGATCACATGTGGATGCCAAGAGTTTTTCACTTTGTCTACTTTTAGCCATTGTGGTCAAAGAGTAAATGAAGTTCGATGTCAGAGAATCAAGTACATGTAGCTCCCATTTTTGTAGGTGTGCGTATAGGTAACTCTTAGAAGTTCAACAATGCATTGTTACAACTTGGGCGGTGTTGTACATTTTAAATTGAAAAAAATTAACTGAATATTTGTGCAAAATGGAGGGCATTGTTCTATTTCAAGAAACAAAAGGCATATTGAGTTGTCAAATATGTTATTGTAAACATTGTAAATGATTTCAGGGTGTAAATAATAAAGTCGTGTGTGTGTGTGAAGCTAACTTTTTGAGTGTTTGAGATACATGTAGTTTGTCTGCCATTCCAAATTACATTTATCCTAAACAACAAACATTACAATACCTGCACTATTGAGCTTCAGACCAGAGGTGTTTTTAGAGATCTACTGTCATCAAATCAACAGCTTTGCCTGAATCAGACAGGACTGTTGAACATACAGTACGCAGGAATGGGCCAGTTTACAGTACATTGTATCATCAACCTTTATTTACAAACTTTGAACAGGTAAGTACAAAAATTGTATGGACGGCATAATTATAAACATTTCCAAAGGTACAGACAGATTGTGACTGTATGCAATGCATGTAAAAATCATGATTATTTGTAGTTCATGGACGTCACCAAAAAGAAGATACAACTGGAACATAAATTCCCACGAAAGCTGTTTATCCAGCTTAGATGTTTATTTCACTACTGCGATGACATTTATTAAGTAACTTCAATTCCTTCAGTATGTATAAGATGTAGCGGCAGGTACTGCGAACAACTGGTTTTTTTTTTACAGTTGTTCGCGGGACCCGCTGCTGCATCTGATTCGAACCAGCCAGCTGACACCGGCTAGCTCGGTGGTCGAGTGGTTAAGATGTCTGCACTAGTAAGCAGGAGGCTGTGGGTTCGAGTCCCACCTGAGTACGCTTGTGGTTTTTTCACAAGCCTTCGGGGGCATACACTGAGCATACAGTGTTAAAATACATGTCGGGAAGGGCACAAAAAAAAAAAATTAATTTACATCTCCCTGGTGCAAATCCATCTTTGACATAGTACAGACTTCCTGTGTTTCATACAGAAATTGAACAAGAACACGGAAGTACGGATCTGCATTCAAAAATACAGATTTTGGAAAATCTGATCACCTTAGATGGGTCACATCATCTAAGCGCGGTGTAGCGACAGTCATTTATTTTCATGTCTTATAATAACAAGCAGGGTTGAGATCAGAGGCAAATGAAATATTCACATCATTATCACCAGAGGTTTTAAGGGCCCCATGGCATATTTGTGTTTGAAAGTATCCCTCAAAATACCCCTTTCTTATTTTCTCTGTCACCTTTTACACGTAAAAACACCTTCATGGGTAAACTTGAGATTTAGCAGCTTTTGAAAGATATTGTTTAAGAAATCCTGAAATTGGGAAAATCCTGATGAAGAATCCTGAGAAATCTCAGCAATTCTAGTTAACAGCTGACAGCATTGGGAAAAATCTGGCAAGGGCCATTCTCACTTTCAACAGATGGCAGTTCTGATCATGGTATACAAGTGCAGCTGATTCCCATCCTCAACAACTATGATTCAGATGTGAATAGAGTCATCATTTCACCTATTCAGATCACCACAACAAGGAAAATCCACCTGGGAAGAATATGTGACCCACTCTGTGAAAATGAGTCTTAAATCGCCAGAGCCACTTTTTCGTTCATTTGTACTGAAAAGAGCAAATTGATTTTTTTGTTTCGATGTGTGATTCAGTTTGGCATCCTGAACAAAGTGGATACACCAGGGTGAAAAATGCTTTGGGTTCCCATTGATTTCCATTGTGCAAAATTAGTCTAAAGGACTTGTTACTCCAAACTGGCTCTGGCGACTAAGACTCATTTTCACAGAGTGGGCCTCAGATCTTCTTTCTGTTAGTGTTATGATGGAGAACAATATCCCATGGCAGTACATCTTTTCCTTTTCAGCAGAAGACTAATGCAGCAGTAACGATGGGAAAAATTCAGTCATCTTTCTTCCGTTATCTTCATTCTTGGGCGTCCTAGCCAGCTAAAGACAAATCAACAGACAGGCCAACTCAAGGATATCCATCTCCCCAGGATCATGCTGGCAAAACTCTCGTTGCCTCACAGCAACACAGGGGATGAGAGGGTTTTTGGTCTAGTAAGGAAAAATGCCTCTGAATTTCATCCCTGCCTCATAGCACTTAGACACTCTCAGACTTACTTACCCAGAAGGTTTAAAGTCAATCCCAAAGGAAAACGCAGCATCCGATTGAGTCTCCTGAAAAGCTCTTTGACAAGTGTAAAAAGGCAGCTTTGGTATACAACTAGCACTAATTCATCTGCTCTTACAAATTCAACTTTTGAGTTTGGGCGTTAAGTGATTGAATAGATACCATTTTGCTTGTGCACAAAGTATTCTATTTTGCTTTCAGATACTTTTTTACCCCCAAATATTGTTTTTTTGGCCTCCAGGAGTTCCATTTGTTACTGAATCAGTTTTAGAGCTGTTTGAGTGACGTGTAAAGGTGAGCACTACTGGTTGGGAGTAAAAGAGCACATTTTGACAGGGTTGTGCAGAAAAATACTGATTTCTACAAAGAATACTGAGTTTTAGCCTTGAGAACACTGAAAAGCTGAGTTAAAAGTCGGCAGACCTGAAGAAGGTGGAAGGAAAGGTAGCTTTAAAAAAAAAAGCTACTGCATTTACGAACTGCAACTTTTTGGAAATCATTAATGGAAGCTATCATAAGTTACAATGCGCTAAACCTCCCCAAAGTCTGATAGGCTGCAGTACTTTGTGAAATCAACTAAGCAGGATAAATGGGTAGTGCGTTGGCTAAGGTGTGAGGTGAGACAATCCACTCCATTTTCAGCTGCTTCATGCTACAGAAACGACAACAATATCACCTCGATACACCATGCTTGCTCAAGATGATGTTTCTTTGATTAAGAGTGGATTCTATGTCGTTTTCAAACCCAAAACACATTCAAGTACTGGTGGTGAAAATGTAGCTTCTGGGCCTGAATCCTTTCTACCACTGTCCTGACCATCTGCCCTGTCGAATTGGTGATGACCTCTTGACCTTGTGACCCCCTAGGGAGCAAATCCCAGGAGTCCTGCGTTCACCAATTTGTGGATCTTGGCTTGCATCTCGGGGCCGGCAGAATGAATAATTCTGGAGAGGGCAGAGGGAAGAGAAGACGGCATGGAGAAAACATGGCACGTGATTCATGAAACGGGAGTGCATAAAAATGACATCAATTTTCATGACCACTGACTTTTGGAATAGGGTTCCCCGGTTCCGCCCTGGCACCAATGTACTGTAAAGGCATCAATGAACGACACCTTTTGGTTTGGAATTGTCAAGGGGCACCATGTCATGTGTGAACTGGGCTCTATCTTTCCTCTTCCATTTAAAAACCTCCATGTTTATTTCGGACCTAACCAGGAATTAATAAGCTAAGTTGAAAAATTCATTTGTATCACTTTTTCTGGCTATCCAATTGACAAACAGATTGCCCCCCTGAGAAAATAAAATACTCCAAGAAATCATGTGGAACATTTACCCCTGGCCTTGATCTGGATTAGTCCTCAAGGTTTCGATGAGTCGCTGCATCTTCTGATCCATCAAGATCTCCCGGATCTCAGGATCGGCCAGAATCTGTCGTATCTCGGTCTCGTCTGCCGCAGTAGCTTGCTTGGGGTTGGTGCTGCTCTTAACTTTGATATCTGCCCGGCTGGATTGGTTGGGGGTACGGATAGTGTCCTGAGGGGGAGGGGCTGACGAGGGGACAGAAGGTGGGGAAGCCCCTCCCATGGTGGAGAAATGATTACCTGCATGAAGGGAAAACATACAGAAAGTTCAAACAAAAGAAAACATTTCATGAGCTATTTCTCTGATTTTGGAACCAGTCTGACTAATCGTAGATTGCTAATTTATTATTTGACCTCAGTCCAACATACATCCCCTGCAGCTGCATCTCCCGTATCATTTTCCTCCACTCAAGGATCCAATCTGCAAGGGTGTTCCGGTTACCCAACTCATCCACAAACAGCTCCTCTGGTGGTTAACTCCAACCAGCTTGATGAGCGATGTCAATCTCCTCACCCCTAACCGTCAATACCTCTCACAACAGATGCCTCGAAACAGGGCTCGAGAGCGCACTTGGAAGATCTGTCAGTGCCAGTACTTGGTCAATACATGTAGGACAAAGTCAGCTACACATCAATCACTTACAGCTCCTGGCAGTGGCCAATGCCTGCAGTCAATCAAGTCCAAAACCAGCTGGTTCTAGTGAGGAGAGACAACGCCACTGTAGTTTCCTACATCAATCATCAAGGGGAACCTATTCTCTATCTCGCTGCCTTGCCATCTGGGAACTCTTCCAATGGTGCGTTCCTCAGCAAATCTCTCTTCTGGCCACTCATCTGGCAGGGAAGAATAATTCTTTGGCTGATGCCCTGTCAAGATGCAAAATCACCCCAACAGAATGGTTCCTTTATCCAGTAGTAGGCTTTGAAAGTACAATGTAGATGCACTCAGGTTCAACTGGATGGCAATTCATGCCTACGCCTTCCTGCCTATCTCCCTCTTACCACAAGTACTTGCAAAATTTGAGACATAATTATCCAGGGTTATTCCCATTGCCCCGTTTTGGCCAAGACAGCCTTGGTTCCCTCGCCTCCTCGACCTACTTGTTCATTTGCTAATCAGTCTCCCCAACCACCAAGACCTTCTGACTCAACTGAGATCTCAAATTGTTCATCTGGATCCAGCCTCTCTTCATCTCTGTGCTTGGATGCTGTCAAAATCTCCTTCAGAGCAACTGGCCCTTCGGAAGAAGCTACAGCCTTGGCGGCAAAAAGCAGGCGAGAATCCACCAGATGAACTTACGATAATCGACTTTGCCACCTTACCAAGTGGTGCAAGGAGAGAGCTATTGATCCCCATTCTGCATCTGTAACTGCCATTGGGGATTTTATTCATCACCCTTTCAACTGTGGTCTTCAGATCTCCACAATCCAGGGTTACAGATCGGCCATTGGTGCCATTCATCAAGGGTTCCGTGACGGATCAACCATATCCTCAAGCAAGCCCATTGCACATCTACTGAGAGGCACGTTTATAGAACACCCCCTACCAGGAAACGCATCCCATCGTGGGACCTACTTGTAGGTACCATCCTATCATTTCTTTCCAAGCCTCCTTTTGAACCAGCAGGGGGTTCTTCTCTTCATCAGCTCACCATAAAGACGGTATTTCTGATGGCTGCCGCAACAGCTAAACACAGAAGTGAATTCCATGCCTTGTCCACTGAACCAGGCCGCATTCGCTGGGAACCTGGCAGCGTACGTCTCATTTCACATGTAGAATTTCTAACCAAGAATCAGTCACCTGATTTCTCTCCCCCAGATATCTTCATACCAAGCTTGACAGCATTTTCTTCAACAGAGGAAGATAAATGGTGGTGCCCCAGATGAGCCCTCATGTATTACATTGCTCGTATTCAGCGACTGTGAGGCAAAATCAAGCAGTTATTCACCACTTCTATCCAGCTACATCGACCGGTCTCTGAGACCACATCTGCTTGATGTATATCGGAGGCAATAAGTCGTCCTCCCGATAATCAAGGGTCGACACACAGCACCTCAACATCTTGGGCCCACCTGCTTGGAGTTTCTTTTTCAAATACATGTAGAATGAAAGCTGCCTGCTGGAACAATCCAACCACCTTCACTTCATGCTGCTGAAGGATGTGGTTCAAACGGACAGGACAGTCTTCCAGGAGGTCGGCCAATCAGCAACTCGCAAAGCCCGGAAAGCTACCGTTCCCCACCACTAGATAGGCAGCACCTGGTTACAGGTATGTCTAAGCAACCTTTTTCGAATTTAAATCGGTTAAATTCAGACCCTGGTAACCTGTGTGTCCCTTCTCTCCCAACTTTATATCTAATGGTGCTACCCTGCAAATGTACACGTAGGTTAACAGAGGTGACTTGTTTTCTGTCATGCAATTCCCAAAATCCAAAGGGATTTTCCATTCTAGTAAGAAAACACTCACCTCTGTTTACCATCCCTCCCAGTTAAAAAAACAACCAAAACAAACAAACAAAGGTAATAAAAAAAAAGCTAGGATGAATCTTAGTGTTATATAGCCTTTTGTATGGGGACATGCAGTGGGCATAGAGGGTGCGGCTTGGGTGACTTTTTCAGCTAGGTTTGTTGCGCATGCGCGCTGATATGCAAATGTAGGCAAACAGAGGTCAGTGTTTTCGTACTACGTGTACTAGAATGGAAAATACCTTTGGATTTTGGAAAAATGTACATCTTAAGGCTAACCCAAATATCCAATTGATTGTTGAATATTTGAATGTTATTTTGTATTTGCATATTCAAATTTGAAAAGAATTTGAATATGCAAGTACAAAATTCATGAAAAGGAAGGGAGAATTTTCCTATTTTTTAATGAGAAAAATTACACTGTAGAGGCTTGTTTCAAGCAGATTCAAATGAAAAGCAACAGAAATCTTACAATTCAAAAACTACACTATTCATTAAAAAATTTTAGAGGAATATGCAGTTTAAAGAGGACAGGAAGTATTATTTGTCTCTGTAATCTTGCTAAATCATGGCAGGAGATACTCCTAGACTTGAGAAGCTATTATAGTGATTATAATATAGAATTGTGTGCATTATTGAAATTGATTTGGTATATGGTTTGTTCATCAACAATGTGCCAGTTGGTAAGACCGAATATTCAGATATTCGATTAAATTGAAAGTCAAATATTTGAATAGTGAATTATTCAAATTGACTCAGCCCTAATACGTGTTAAACTGTGTACTCCGGAGCTTTCCACAAGTCTTTCAGAAAACTTTTAAGAATTTGAAACTGTACATGCATGGGGCAGTTGGTGTGACCTTGATGATTGGCACATCAGAGAAAAAACATCATCCAATCACATTTTTGAGTACTGAAGTACGCCAGTGCAGCCTCGTTTTCATAACATCCATTCATCAAAGGAGTTCGCTCTAGGAAAAGGTTGTAAAAACCCAACTGGTCTCACCAAGCAAAGCGCAGAAATCTCTGAAGAACTGCTGCACCTCCGCATTGCCCTTGTATTCCTCCATGGCCTGTTGTGGGTTTCTCTGAAACTTGGAGACGGCTTGAGCAAATCTAGGGTCTGTCAGCTGCCTGGCTAGGCGAGGATGCTTCTCAAGGTTGGAGAGGAGGTCCTCGGTTATCCATTCTAATGGAGACACAAAACTCCAAAATCTTGGTTTCCTAGCTGCTTGTTAAATTGTAAACTTGAAACAGAAATTCCACGGTAACTCAAGGAGGTACATAGGCACTTCCATTCTTTCCTTTCAGTTTTGGGTTGCCTAAGTTTAAGACATTGAAGTTAGTCGGAGGGGCATTATTTGTGAACACCCAGATTCTTCAGCCAATTTCCTAAACTTTTGGCAGATATTGATGGGTTTCATTGTCACAATAGGATATCTGAACTATGTATGAAGTCATGACCAGCATCACTGACTGTAGTGTGTAATAAATTATCACACACTTTTCTTTGAGGTCCAACTAAGAATCATCCATCAACTTAAACACCTCCATGGGATCGACAACTCTTTTTTATCATCTTTTTGAAGTTGAATTATTTTCTAGATTGCTGCCCAGCTGCCCATCAAGAATCACCGATAAGTAATAATCTACTTTGCCCAAAAGTTACTAATGGTCAATCAAACTCTAAATGCCACAAAAAATTAGCTTTCAGTCAATTGTTCTTTTTTGCTCAACTGTCTAGTGACTTTTCAAAGTAAAAAAAAATCAATCAAATCAGTCATTGCTTTTGCTGCTTCCCTTTTGCCCAGGTTCCACCTGACTTTTGATATTATTTTAAACCAGAGATTAGAGGTTACATGTAAGTATTTAAAATATATACAAGTAACTATGTACCCTTGTTTTGAAGTAGCGGAGCAGTCGTCTTCAATGCTTCCTGCACTTCATCAATCCGATACTGTTCTCTAGCATCCCTTGAGCCTTCCTTAGGTCGAATCAAGGGGATCTCTTCCCCACCCACTGGTTTCAGATCAGCTGCTGGGACGGATTTGGATGAACTGGCTAATGATTTCCCATGGGAAGTGTGTTTCTTGCTGGGCCCTCCAATGAGAAACCCTTTCTTCATGCCTCCGAAACCGCCTGTGGATGAGCTCGTGGATTTGGCCATTTGTGAGCTTGCCTTGCTCAGCGTGAACAATTTAAAAAAAACAAAATAATTTGATTTACTAGGGGGCAATTTGACATTATGCATAGAAAAGTGCACTTTTTTAACATAAAATTATCCATGCTTTCCAGGACAACTGAGGGTGCTGTTGCTGTGATGTCATCCAGGGAAGACATAGTTCAGTGCATAGGTTTTTCTGTTTAAACTGTGCACCCCAAATAGTCCTCGCTGAAAACATTCCTCAAAAAGGGTCAATTGCATGCTTTTGGCTACATGTATGCATGTTAAATCAACAAAAAAAGAGTGCGTTTAGTCCAGTAAATCTCCGAAAATGTTGGGGTTTTTTGTGTGCATGCACAAGCTAAGGAAACATTAATATGAGCCTTTCTTCCTCAAGGTTAATGGCAGTTTTGCTCATGAATTTGTACTTACAGGCAGAAAACAAAAAAAGCAGTAAAATACCATTTGAAATGGCAAAACAAAAGTTCAAAATAATGTTAACTGAGACACAAAGGTGCATTTTGCAGGGTCTGCAAAGAAATTCCATTGAAGCTGCCCCAGAAAACCTACAGTGAAACAGATTTTAACCCTAGCTTCCCCACACACGCTGTATTTTGGCAAATAGAAACCCTGCCCAGAGCAAAAACATATAATACACGTAGTTGTTAAAGAGAGAAGTCAGCTTGGCGTATTTGAAACAAGTGGCACTGATTGTTTGAACTAACGGTAACTCCAAGTGTCTCATAATAAACGGTTTATACCAGTTCAGTATTCCAACAGCACATACCCAAACATGCCAAAAATGATGTGTATCCGAGGTGATTTCAAACCAGTAATACACTTGTCGTTCATGAGGTCTGCCCTATCAGCATGGCCTTATGTCGACTCACACACATGCTTTGTTGTTCAATAACCTTGCCTTTACAAATACCAAACTGGATTACATTACTGCTGTTGACTACTCGATGCACAAAGGTTCCACAATTGCGTACACCTCTTGCACTGTAATGTGTCTAGCAGGCTCGGATTAGGGTCAATGCTGTTGAACTAGCTTCGTTGACAAAGCATGCAAATTTGAAAGGTAGCTTCATAAGACATGTCAGAGTGTCTTTCCAAACTTGTGTCTTGTGGTATCCCTTTATTTCTTTTCAACAGCTTAAAGTCCTGTCAAACCCCTATTTTTTTAAACCCAAAGTGTTCACACCCCATTTAAGCTTTTGGTTAATGGTTATTTAACGGTATAACATGTTCCACTAGACTCACACATACATATAACATGCATGTAATGGCACTGAGCTGTACGTGTGTCCACTTTCCTATATCAGTGAGACATGATCCATGAATAGGCGTGTGTGTTTACGAGTATTTTTGGAACCAGGTACCCGGCTAGCCGGGTACCATTAAAATAATACAATCAACACATGGCATTCCGCACAACCCCGACAGCCCATGTGCCGGAAAAGTGCTCTTTTTTACTGTACATGTAGGAAGCAGCACATTGTTCTGAACGTTAGAAGGGAATCTCCCACCATTTTATTGAACAAAATTGTTACCTTAAATTTCTAACAAAAGTAACTCTGTTGATTTCTCAGAGTTATGACCACGGGACCTGGGTTTTCAGCGGCACAATGATTTTTTCTGCAACTCTGCCCTGCACTATTAAAGTTCACATACATTTATGCATGGAAGTTTTTGTGGGTACCCGGCCCGAAAGAATGGAACCAGGTTTTAATGGGAAGGTACCGAAAGACCTGGGTACCCAACACACACCTGTCCATAAAGCCCCCACAGGAAAGTGCACATGTAAACAAAACATGATGTAAATATGGTTTACACATGTACATGTAGGTCTACTGGCCATTACAATGCATTTGAAAATTTGTGCACATGTGCAAGTAGCACATTAGAAAAACACCTAAATCCACCTTTGTTGTGGTTTCTTTTGTATCTGAACTTCTAAGTGATGCATCATCTGGTGAAGTTGATGATGCGTTGCCACTGGTAACATCAGTGGGTGCATCAATGCCTGTCTTCACACAGCCTGATGGTAATGTTGATGAGGAAGATGATTCCTTGAGACTCTGAATGTGTTTTGCATGTTCCAGCACATCACTCATGTCCTCCAGTGGAGGAATTTCTGTGATCAAATCAACAAATGAAAACAATGCCTCATCAAAAGCCCACTGTAACCAGATCAGATATTAAAAATTTGTTGCAATGTCCTATATATAATAAGGTCTCCAGACTGATTATCAGTTTCCCATGAACCAAACAGCAGAAAGGCTGAGGGCACTTTTTATCAGCACTAGTGATACATGTCAAAGTCACGTGGACTCGGATGATATAGTGTACGTCCATAAAGCCATAAAGTACAAAATGTATGCACTTGTTTTATACAGTTGTGCACAGGTGATGTTTGCTATTGAAGTAACGTTTACATTTATGTACATGAAGGTGCTGATTTTGCTGACAGCACTGAGATGCACTTTCTAAAAAATGATGAGTCGACTCTCTTCTGCTCTTAAAATCTTTTTGATAAAGGTCAGCCAACTATTTTTGGCAAAGTTTTCCCTGGAACTGGTGAAGAACAAAGATTCAGATGTTTCATGTACGTGAACCTGTATACACATTGCACAAACCCTGGTTTAATGGGAAATAGGCTGAAAAACACTGAAGCTCAACCTGGCCTTGGCCCCAATGTCACGGTAACCATATACATGTAGGCCCCCTATAGAATACAATCAGTAGATCTGCTCGACAGCTCAATTTGTACATGATCAGTTGATTTTACTGCATGAGTTGTATATATAGGTTACATCCCATAACTCCACCATCAGCCAATCACATTTCTTTCCGGTTCACAATTGTGGAAGATTGTTTCAAAGAAATGAAATCAAAGTTGGGAGATTTCATACAGGGTTGACCAATTCGAGCAAAGAGCAATCATGCAAGTGTACCCCACATTATCTTGAGTAGGCTTCTAACTGAGTACGCTTACTAGGCTCTAAGCCTGACATTAATTTTAATTCTCGTGTTTTTCGTTTGCTTTTGGGGGGGGTTTGGTTCTTCTTTTTTTTTTTAACTCTGGAAGACGATCATGTTACACAGAAACAGAAAGGTGTTCCAGGATGTTTATCACCTCTCTTCCATCACTGCAACTCTCTTACTTAGTCACGACTTGCATACCATACCAACATTTACCATAGCAACAACTGCTCCCAATCTTTCCTGCACCCAGTACCGGTATACCCTGACATGCCTGGCGATGGCTTTAATAATACTCAACCCCCCATCATGACCATGCATGCGCATGTGATCGATCAAGTCACAGACACGATGGATAAACGATCTAAGGACGTTCCCCCTTCCTCCATGCTCACAGCAACTCACCGTCATCACCGCCAGCCATGTCGTGTTACCAGTGCCTGTCACCGACTCACCACAGATCAACTTTTCACTCTCTCAGATTTTGAGCAACAGCTGCTGCGCCGCGCATGCTGAGGTTAAATACAGAGCGCGCCACCATTTGGTAAGATGTGGCGAACTCGTTGGTTCCCTCCGACTTAAAAACGCGATGAGTCTGCAGGAACGTAATACGCGTACGAGTTACGACCTTGTCAGAGAACATGTGAACCAGTTTATGTTGGGTAATTGCACATTTTCGTGCGTAGTTGTGCTGTTTCTGCCATAGATTTTTGCGATTTTTCAATAAAATCGACTCGGTTTTGACGAAGATGTCGGTTGCACGACAGCTTGGGAAGTTGCTGCGGCCACTGCTGCAAGCCAGGATTGCAAGCTGCGCTTCGGAAGCCAGTTACCACAAAAATGTAGGGTCGATGTATGGTCATCTTGTTATGCATGTCATCATCATGATGTCGACATGGATTGGTTGTGCGCTAATTTATAACGTTAGGCCATGGAGGTCGTCCTTGTTAGGCCTACTGCCAAAAAGTGCCAGTACTGGAATGGGTCCCATACATTGCATGGGCAGTGCCTACCATGCTTATGGACACGGACAACACTTGATACCCCTGAACACAAACCACTCGTGTATGACTCATGAGACTTGTCTGGGGAAAAAAAAACAAAACCCAGTGTTTTCTAACTCAGTACATGTCAGTAGGCAGGGCCTGTGCTCCTGAATACCCCCAGAACTGTGGGGTCCGACGTCCGCCCTGCGTTTGTAGGAGTAGGGCAGATGTCAAACCACACAATTCTGGGGGTAGCTTCCAAATTATCTTAGCAAAATTGTACTTTTTATTTAGGACATGTCATGACATGTTAGCCTATTTATTAGTATCACTTTCTGATCATCATCATGTGTTGATGCAGCCTTGCAGGGCGTGTAATAGGCCTAGGACCTAACTTCATGGAGTCAACCATGCATGTCAATTGTCTTGGTACCCCTGGTCTTTGCCTCAGTGCCCATTGAAATGTTCCCATAGACAAGAACTTTGATTTTTTAATACAAGTTTGTGAACATATTACATGTGCAGTGTGGGGGATAGAATCATTGGTAGCTCGCTTTGCAGCTGAAAAAGTCAAGTCAAACTTCACATGAGTTCTGTTTTTTTATTCACTTGAATTCTGATACATGAATGAATGTTCTCTGAATTTCATGTAAGATATTCATCATTGAAAATCAGCTTGTCACAATGGTTCATGTTGAAAAATGGCTTTCATGCATGGCTACTTTGTGTGTGTGAAGAAGTTTTTGCCTCAATTTGGAACTGGTTAAACCGATCCAGAAGTAAGAAAAGTGTAATCGTCACTTTCGTCGATCTTGTAAATCCAAATTAAAAGCTTAAATTTTGACCAAAATTTCTGTAGTATCTCCAACACACAAGGCAATCTACTAACCATATTTCACTGGAATTTGAGGATTTTTTTGCACCTGCACGATCCGGAACTAGGAAGGCAACTATATAATATCTTGTTTATGTTCCAGAGTCAGATCATTTGAACTGTGTGTACTGAACATGGTAAAAATCCTGGGCCATTACCCCTGAACTGCCGTGACTGCCATCTTTCAACATGAAGAAACGCTGTGACATCGCTGATTGTAATGTCACATGTATTGTACATGTTGCTGGTACATTGGAAGAAGACTGCTTCGTGTCACATGCTCACAGTGTACCAACTACATGCAAAAATCTCAGACCCCAAATGAAATATTGCATATTTTCTTAATTACCATGACTACATATGTTGAAAAAAGGCATGTAATACGTGGCGTGTACCGTACAGTACTTGGCCGGAGCCCTGATTGCGACTTTCAAGATTTCATGATCATAAGGGCTTCGGTTACTCAAGCTCGGTTGAGTAAGTGTTGGTATCCTGGCCCAGTGTATGCTACATGTACTCCTGAAGGTACTTCAAAGTTCAATATGTAGGTGCAGTCATACCTTAAAGTTCCAACTTTGCAGTATTAAATCCCCGACATGCCCAAGAATATAAAAAATTACCAGAGTCAGAATTGGTGAAGAAGAAAATTGAGCTCGCAGCAAATACATGTAGTCAGTGTAATTGACAGTCATGCAGATTCCTCATATTTCTGTCCTTGTGAAGCTGTTAGTTTTGCTTCAACCATGTTGTCTTCAACTTCACAGGTGATTGACCACTATGAGAATCCCAGGAATGTGGGCTCGATGGACAAGAATGATAAGTCTGTGGGCACCGGGCTCGTCGGGGCACCAGCATGTGGAGATGTCATGAAACTGCAGGTGTGTGTCATTACACTGCATTGCAGATCAAGCAAACGTTCACTGTTGTACAGTTTTCTGTGCACTTTTGTAAAATGGCATTTTTAACTAAAATACATGTCGGGCAGGGCAAAAATCCAAAAATTAAAAACTTCCTTGATCCTTTGAAATCCTTTGAGGTTTGCTAGAGTTTGAAAGACTGAGGATGGTAGAGCCTAGCCACTGTTAACATGACTTGATGCTCTCAAAAAAGTTTCAGCTCATGCACAAAGAACTTGCCAGTGGTTTCCTACAAAGTAGAGGATTTTGGATGATGAATTTGGGAAGCTCTTAGCAAGAATTCTTCTGAGCAGTTTGGGTTAAAGCTTTTTTACAGTAAGTTCTTAAAAATCTTTTGTTCCGCAAGGAGCGGATAGCATACCTGTTAGACTAATCTATGTATCTGTCGCAAAGAGACATTGCAGAGTTGGTACTAGGCCTGGACTTGTCACATTTGTCCTTGAATTGTACATGAAGGGGTACATACCATTGGTCAGAATAGCACCGAATGGGACACACAGTGTTATGCAAACACAGCACACCTGTGTACTGGTGTTTTCTAATAAGTCTGCTCAGAGAAGTGCTGTTGTGCACGCTGTAGTCAGTTTCCCGCCAGAAAGCATGCCATTTTTTTTTTCTTGCTCCAGATCAAAGTTGACGATAATGGCAAGATCGTGGATGCCAAGTTCAAGACATTTGGCTGTGGGTCAGCCATTGCATCTAGCTCGCTAGCAACTGAGTGGGTCAAGGGTAAATCGGTGAGTCGTTCATCTTTGTCATATAGAGATAATGAATTGAATTTTGATTTTTCAACCCGTTTCAATTTAGCAGCCTCCTTTGTTTTCACTGGTGGAAAGGTCAGTCATGCATACTACGGAGCAGATATCTGTTTGTATTGTAGTAAGACCAGATCATATAGATATTATGCATCTTGTGTGCTTCGCTAAGGGTTTTTGCAAACCGTGCTGCAGACCTGTGTCACCGTGAATGCATATTGCTCCCTTTTTGTGAACAGGTCGATGATGCCTTGAAGATCAAGAACACAGACATCGCTAAGGAGTTGTGCTTACCACCAGTCAAGCTGCATTGCTCAAGTAAGGAGCAGCATTTCTGCCATTCACTCAGCCTCCACTCATTCCCACATCCAGAAGTACCTTTAGTTTTATAGTACTCTGAAATCCACACCAGCAAACAATAATGCCTGATTTCCATATAGTCCTAATGAACTCCGACAGCATGATAAGACGTCAAGATGAAGACAGAAGAGTTTAACCTCATCCATCTCTCCTGACTGTCTGCATTGATGTTTGCGTTAGTCACAAGGAAATGTTTCCATATCATTGCATAATTTTATCAGGGAAAGATTGGCGATGCTGTCTGCATCACTTTACATCGATATGGAAACCAGGCTTAACCCTAGCCCTCCTCAATCCTTCACCTGTTGGAGGACTGAGGAGGGTTAGGGTTAACTGCAGTATTGTAAATTCTTAAGACTGCACCCTGTGAACCTATAATCCACATTGGTAATAGTCAGTTCGGGGAGGAGGGGGATATGCTCCTATGCTAATAACTACAGTTGGACAGTTGCTGGTAGTTGCAAATCACTCCCACACCATGTGGAAAAGGTTCTCCTCGCCTCCCACCAACCCCACCCCACAACAACCCCACCCCACAACCCCACCCCACACCAACCAGGGATGAGATTGCCAATGATAAAAATAGCTGAAAACAGCTCCAAAAAAGGCATAAAGAAGCTGAACTGTGAAAATCTCCTATACTTTTGCAGACAACCAGAGAGGAAAAAAAGCTGAAATTCCAAACA